GAGACATAATAGACACATCTTTATAGTCATTTACCCTTTTCATAAAATAAACTCTAGCAGACATAATAATATTATGGCGTTTGAAATCAGGTATTACAATGCTAATTCATAACAAAGACGATCTCTAATTCATCACTGTATTCCCATGTTTAATGGGACACCCTGTGTTTCACTTTATTCCCATGTTTATTGGGACACCCTGTGTTTCACTTAAAGGTGGATTTCAATTAAAAAAATTAGTATGATTAAGATGTTAAGATTTTCATGTTCCTCGAAGGACGTTAAATTTGATTAATATTGTTAAACTTGTTTAAGATTTTCCACTCGATGTTTATTGAAAATAAACCTATAATGGAAAATTGACTCAAATTCTCTTTACCTACAACATTTTTAAACATTATGCGATGCACTTTATTTTCTCAGCACTTTTTTTCTTAAAAAGTTTATATTGTTAAACACTTTTTTAGAAATCAGAGGAAAAAAAACTCATTGTTGGAGTTCTTTCGGTGACCCCTTCATATCGGAGATACACCTAGATAATAGATCCATCAGAGAGCCTATAACATAAATGTTGGGGTCTACAATGAACATCTTGGAGTCTCCGATGAAATCTGGGGGTCTCCGATGAGATCTGGGGGTCTCCGATGAAATCTGGAGGTCTCCGATGAAATCTGGAGGTCTCCGATGAGATGTCAATTGGAGTTTCTTTCCAGACTCTATAATTATTTAGTTATCAGAGGATATACATTGGAAGAAGGAGCAGGGGGGGGGTTGAATGGTGCAGTGCCCCCTCTTCTAAGTCCTAGGTAACCTACTCCGACTCGTAAGAAATTGAGTATTTGCTGCAAACTCTGATTTTCGAATCCCTATATCTTTGAAAACCCGATGTTTTAGATATTTGATATTTCATATTATAATTAAATTCTGTCCCACAACCTCTATTTTTGCAGTTTTTACTTTTTTTAAACACCCGTATGTCATAATATAACAAAGCAATTAGGACTTAAAGATTTTATTTCTCCATGGCTTTCCAACTGTTTAGAACAGCCCTGTAGCTAAAATAATAATGAAGCACAGATTTTCTGATATTTATTTCTTTTCAACCTGATGGTGGAAACTTGCACTGTCGTGAACAGAGTCACGACTGGTTGATAGGGGCAATTTACTTATATCCTTTTCTCAGCAGGTTTATGGATAGGAGCAAGGTTGTCT